TCCAACGCAGTCGACACAACCAAGTACATAACTTGTGTACACAAGCTACAGCTCCACTTTCCACCAATTGTAGATAAGTAAGTCTTGGAAAATCCGGGGGGGGGGACTCCGGGTTAAAAGTACCGGGGATGTTCGTCAGAAATTAGACCCCTAAAAGATCCCGAAAGTCTTGAAAAAAGGGCATGGCTCACTGATTGTTTGACCCCTAAGAGATTGCATAACAAATATTGTTAAATTAAATCAGCTCCAATGATAAAAACGCAGAGGAAAATCAATATCGATGCGCTCTTTCTCTTCTTTTCCGACACTCTAAGAGATTGCAGAAAATACAAATTTCCAGAAACTACAAATTGCCACCCTAAAAGATTCCCAATCACGAATTTTTACCCCTAAGAGACCCGACAAGTATCCCCTGTGTACTATTGAAAATGAACAGAAACCTGGTCTCCAAATTGGTAAAAAATCTATTTATTAATGCTAGAAGTTTTTTTTGTTTTCAAATACAAGGTTCATGAATCGTATTCTGTTTATTCTACCAACGGTGCATGGGAGTTTTAAGACTCTCTGCCTGGAAATCATCCTCTCTCGGGTTGGACATACATCGAATATTTTTCAAGAACTCAAATCAAAAGGATTGAAGGACATGCTTGGTTTTAGGTATGTACTTCTCTCCAGGCAATTTGTTGTAATGTTGACTATTGCCTTGCAGAAACCTCAAAAATAGTGGGCACTCGGTTATACGGACACTTAGATAAATTCCGCAGGTGTCTGTTAGAACGAGAGTTGATTGTATTAGGTTTATCAATTGTTGGATTCCCTATGGAAAACGGTGAAGAGATTGGTACTAGGGGAGTATGTGCCTTAGTACTAGTCCCACCCATTCAACTGACAAAGGAATCGCAAAAATCGAAAAAGCACCAAGTCTGACAATGTTTATATCTCATCTTCACTGTTTTCCATATAGAGATGAGGAAATGCACGTTGTACTTCTGAAAATTATCCATGGTTTGCTGGAAAAGCTGTCGATGAATGACCTTCAGTACATCATGCCATCCATAACAGCCATGTCAACCAGTAGTAGCGTGGTATGCCGGGAACTCTTGTATGACATCCTTATATGGATATACGATATGTACAGGTATTGAAAGCAGACAAAAGATGCTTGTTTTTATGTTTATTTGCTTGGTTTTGAAATATCGTATGTTATTCTGTTTAGAAACTGATATGGATGGTCTTATTCATTCATTTATCCCATTCATTTGTTCATTCATACCATTATACATTCATCCATTTAGTTCTTTATCTAATTGTACATTTGATGTCTATTTGTTAGAAATGACCAAATGTTTAGGGAGGAAGAAGGTGCCGAAGAAGTCCTTGCCTCAGCTAAAGATTATTTGTTGCAAGGTTTAATCGACAAAAATAAAGAATTGCGGTGAGTGTGTTGTTACGTTATTCATCAAAGCTGTTGTGAAAAAATTGCAAAGTTGAAATATTGTAAATTTCATGCTCTTCACGTTATTGTTATCCAGATTAAGTTACATTCTTGAATGTTCCAAAGAATTTTCCAAGGTTTTAACACTGTTTTATTTTTCAGACTAAAAATGCAGAACTTTTGGAGCGACGAAACACGTCTTCCCAGCACCACCCTGGAGAGGCTTGTAGATGTTCTAAGTGCTATGTATTCACCAAATACAGAATCACAGGTCATTTTAGACTATTGTCGAAGTCATGCCAACATCTTTGTTCATTACGCTCTATAAATGTTGCGATATTAACTCAAAAGTGATGTTTTGTTTAATGTTTTCAGTACTTGAGCTACACGACCAACCTTATACTGCATCTTACCTCTGTCAGTCCTGATTTCAACCGACTCATTTTTGAGCAGCCTCTATCAGAATGCAAGTTTGAGGTTCGTAATGTACATTTTCTGTGCTTGATTTTGACTATTATCTTCTTGCAGCCTGTATTTCCTTCATTCTCTTTGCTGTATTTTAATAATTTCGTTCTCTACATTTGTTTCAGGATTACCCAATTGACTACTCATGGCACCAGAGGAACGCGAGCATGACCCCCCTGTTCATTGCTACACAGGGTTCTATTGCTACAGGAATGAGTCAGAGCCAGGGGGGTTCCATGATGGCTGGCATGGTCAGAGCTACTCAATCTCGCGTCTTTACTCCAACCCAAGATATGGAAAAATCTCAAACATTTGATTGGCTCAATCCAAGTAGTCAGGTATGTCTCTCTAAATGACATGTGTCAATCACTCGATGGGAAATCTATATTTCTAATATTTGTATGTTTAGGTTGATGGGCAGCCTGTTCGTCCTTCATTTGTGGTTGGGACATCTGAGACCCAGTCCTCTCTCTTATTTGTCAAAACTCCTGACCTTAAAAGAAAGTACAAGCAGGTACCACGTGACTTTGGTAGTAAGAGACTGGGAACCACACAGTCAAGCACACAATCTGACCCACAAGGTGATGCTAGCGTTCATCGCTAAATGTAAAGAAGCCTGTTTTTCTCATTTTTTTATGATCTCATTTATTTTCAGATTTAAACGAACAGCAAGAAATCCTAAAACTGAAAAGACGATTTCTGAAGAATGACGCCATTAGCAGGAACTTCTTTGCAAAACGAGAAATGATGAGAAAGAAAATGCGAGAGGTAGTGTGTCCAAACATAGCTACAGCAAAATGTATGCAGTAACTCCTTCATTTGGTTTCCATTTTGTTTTTATGCTTTTTTTCAGGAAATCAAAAGCCGTCAGCAGGCATCACGTGATAGTCACGTGGTCATGTACCGGAAGTACCGTGTGGGAGATCTCCCTGACATTCAAATAAAGCATTCCGAGCTTATTGCCCCTTTACAAGCTGTTGCCCAGGTAACATATAAACCGACCAAGAATTTCATCTTCATTGAGTTTAAAGTATTTTCTTTTGGATAGAATGACAGCAACATTGCAAAGCTTTTGTTTTCATCACTGGTGCAAGCYATTTTCAAAGAAGCAGAGCAAGAAGGTGTGGATAGCGTGCGCGATATACAATCAGCACTAACAAACATGGCGGAATCCTCGACGCAATATTTTGCACCATTCGTGTCTAGTATACAGGGWATTTGCTTCAATCTCTCTAAGCTGTCCATGAAGCCTTCATTAGTTAGTATTTCATCGCTCACCAGCCTTCAACAACCCGTCGGGATCATGCTCCTTGAGAGACAACTTCTCACAAATGTTGACGACGGAGCTAAAAAACCAAAACGAGCTCGATTAGAAAGCAGAACAGACTCTGGAAACACCGAGACTTGGCTTGAACTTGCCAAGATGTATCGGTCAATAGGAGAGTATGATGTTGTTCAGGGAATTTTTAGTGATCACATTGGAACACAAGCTATTACTAAGAAGGCATTGGAATGTGAAGCACGTGGAGACTACGCCCAGGCGCTCAAGTATTATAACCAGGCAATGGCCTGTGAAGAATGGACTAATGGTGAACCAGTCCAGGAAGAAGAGGATCTATGGGATGATGCTAGACTTAAGGTATGGTAATAATGCCCTATACTAGACACAAGAGAAAAGGGATATTATCAACAGGACTCAGAATTTTTCCAGGGCTGGGTTGTTCAAAGCACGATTAGCGCTAATCCTGGGTTAACTCTTAGAAAACCTATAGAATTAACCCTGGATTAACGCTAATCGGACTTTGAACAACCCGGCCCAGACTCCTTCATATATGCTTAGTGATCTGTTAATGTAAATCGCTTTTTATTGCAGTGTTTTGATCAACTATCTCAATGGGAGAATCTCGAAAAGTTTTCTTTAATAAATATCGACGATAACGATCCGCCTGACCTGGATAAAGTGTGGTCAGATACATTCTACCAGGAACATTATCTGCCATTTTTGATTAGAAGTAAACTAAAGCAGTGTTGTGAAGGTGGAGATACTACTGTCTTGGGTCAGTTTATGAATCGAGCATCACAATTCGAGGAGAGACAAGCTTTCATTGAAGTAAGAATTGTTTATTACTAGTAATAGTATCTTAAAGACATGAGTTGGTGTGAGATAGGCACGATGTGTACGACGAAAGAAGTTTGAAGAATTAGGAAGTTGTCCTTCAGTAGCACTATATAGTTAAAATAAGTGATAAAAAAAAAGCTCATCAAAACCTATTTTATTTTCCACAGTAGTGTACGGCCCTCAACACTCATTTTTAAAGAAATTTGAATTATATTCTCGGCACATTCTTTCTCATACAGAGTCGCCATAGTGAAGATCTGGCTTTGCTGCATATCTTAAACAGTGACTACGACAGAGCAAGATACTACGTGGCCAACTGTTTACAAGGATTTCTAATGGTAAATGGACATAAATTTGAGAAGATTTGCCAAGTGTTTTAGGCTTGTAATTTACCTTTTTCTGTCCCTGTTTAGGATTGGGCGGGCCTTGATTCAATGATGGTAGGAAGTCGCTTGGCAAAGTTACAATCACTGCAGACAATCACTGAAATGAAGGAATTCCTGGACTTCGTTGCCAATGAAGGTTGGTAGAGCTATTTGTTAGCCTCGTCCCAGGCTTCTCTCCTCTCCAGCTTAACTACACTTATATATCGCAGAAGAGTTTCGGGGAGTAGCTAGATTTTAGCTTCTTATGAAATCATTTCTAAAATTATAGAACAGTTGTCATAAGTTGGCCATTTTATCACGTTTTAGATAATTTCAGCAGTGCGTTGCCACTCAAACAGCTCTTTGAAAAGTGGTTGTCAAGGTTTCCTGACCGAAAATTCCATCCAATCAGCGTATGGGATGACGTCATAACTAACAGGTCTGTTGCCGTCGCTATTTTTACTGATTCACTTCGACTTTCTCACATGTGCCCAATTCAGTGCAGATTTCTCCAGTATTTTGTTTCTGCTCGTTAATCATCTCGATTGCATTGAAGTTGACACATGAGAGATTGGACTTTTGACCAATAGACGATGCTTCAATTCCATTTTTTCTCTTTTTTTTTTTCTTATTTTTCAATCTAGATGTGTTTTTATGCAAAAGATTCTTGACAGATTTGACAGCACATCTCAATGGTACGTACCTTTTGGTAGAAGATGAGTAGAACAAGCAGTAACTCTATTTAGTAGGAAAGAAGTATAATGAGAAGCCAAGGCCTTTATGTTGACTTTGATTGACTATAATGTCCTCTAAACGTAAGGAGTGCTGGGGCTTCATTAATGTTATTCATTGTTCTGTTACAGGTCAGAATCACTGGACTCTCAAGATGGAAGTTCTGGCCTTAAAAATGTCGAAAATCAAGTGAGACGTCAAAATGTCTTGTTCCACTTAGAAATTGCAGAGGCTGCCAAGGAACAGGTAAAAATAGAATTCGTAAGTGCCGCGACGCCATTTTTAATTAGAACAAAGCATGGCGGGAGATGTTTTCGCACTTGTTAGAAATAACTGCTCAAATCCGCGTTCCTTTAAATAAACAGCATAAAAACGTTCACAAATGTAACAGTTGGGAGAACAATAAAAAGTTTCTCATCATTCTTTGTTGTACAAAATGGCGTCGACCTAACTCCATGATGGCCGCACACAGTTGGTATGAAGTATGTTTTACCAAACTCTTTTCCGTTTTTCCTTACTTCTTTAATCCTAACCTTCTCTACTTTTCTTTTTCTTGTTTGATTGTTTTTGTTTTTCCTTAGTTAAACTTTCCAGTATCAACAAAGCATTTACGTCAAGCTTTGAAAGTGATAATGGAGGTAAGATTTTGTGATTATGGAGGTGAGATGGCGTGACTTACTCGGATATGTAACATTTTCCATCAGTGTTCTGGATAAAAGAACGATATATTGCGTGAATGTTTCAGGATCTTAAAGACGAAAGTCTTCATCTAAAGTGGACGCATGCGTACACTTGTATGCAGCACAAAAAATCSCACACGCTTGCTGCGACAGAGTCAGTGGAAACTGCTATAACAACCATTGGTGAACTAGGTGAGAAGCTCGGGAAATCACACAGGTGGCATCAACGACATATTCTAGAAAAAATCATGTTTGGAAACTAAGACACTTTTTAAAGATTAAAAGATTCTTAAAAGATTATCCCCAAAACGCGTCGTTCACACGACATATCAAAGTGGCCACATGTATTTACAACTTATCAAAACATAAATTTAATATTTTTTGTATTTGTTGTTTGTAGAAAAGTTTTCAGATAACAGGGAACTTTTACGTAATCCCGCAATGGCCTTGCGTCACCATCTACTGAAAAGTCGTACGTACGACATCGTTTATACAGCTATTGAAAGTGAAGGTACTGCTCCTATGAATGGATAATCTTAGCATTTCGACACCTTACTGGTTGAGAAATTGTTTAAAATGGTCCCTGAGTATTGATTTATTGATTTATTTCTCTTTTTTCATCATAAGGCGACCATGTCATTGGATCCCTAGATGATGTGCATCGACAACAGCTCTCAACAATGTGTGGTAATGCAGAATCATCTGAGCAGGTGAACGGTGTACAACATCAATCCATCCTTTCATTTATTCATTCATTTATTTGTTCATTTACTTATTTTTTACTCATTCAGTTTTTCCATCCATTCGTTCTTCCACTCATCCAATTTATCTTTCAATCATTGTTGGTTGTTTTGACGTAAGAAATCTTATGTATAGATTGTGAGTCAGTTGATGATTCGTTCCTTCACGTCCCTGCAAAATGCCATCAAAACAGCCAAGGGTATTGAGGAACAAAATGGACAGTCAAGGTTTGATATATGTCTTTATTTTTGCTTCTTTTAATATCCAGTTTTTGACCGAGACTTATCAGATATAAAAGTTTAGTCTTAACGGTAATAATCGGTTTTAAAAATCCACTATCATATGAAAACCGCGGTAAATTTTGCTTTCTTTTCATACGTTTTTTATTATCAAAATACAGCAGTAGTATGRTAGAAGCCATGATGGTTATGGTGAAGTTTTGTGATTCTGTGTTGCGTAAAAGAGAAGACGGTAAGTGTTATTGATTTTATCAGTTGTTAATCAATATTGATAATTATTGACGATGGTTAATGTAATCTCTTGATTAGACTTAGAGAATGCTCCACAAATTGATGTCAAGGTAAAAAAAATATGAATGAATATTCGATTTAAATTATTAATGGAATCATTACGAATAATTAAATCAATTTTTTTTAAAAATTAAAAGTATCCTGAGCAATAAATAAAGATTTATTATACAATGTTTTCTATCAATAGCTATTTCCTGGGATCGTGGTGCGCTACGTCCTCAAAGCMATGACATATTGTTCAGAAGAAGCACAAAGAAGATTCCCTCGTTTGCTACARCTTGTGGAAATCTATCCTGACACTCTTAATCCCTTCGTGAAAAAGGTATTCTTKAATTAKMATCAAACTTCACAAACTKTRAACMCAGAAAAACTTMAATTCGATGCCTGTTCGTTGCTTAAAAAAATTAAAGAGAAATGACTCTTTCTAGGAATGAGTCTCGATTGACTTCCMAGCATGCGTRCGTTTTGAACTCTGCTGTAAACAGACTCGTGCCCAGTCATTTCTCTTACTCGTTTTACGGGTCGCGGTGCATCAAGGGAAGTCCGAACTGTCGAGTTCCCTTGATCCTTTGCGCGCGCCAGAGAAAAATGAAGAGTAACGACTGAGTACGAGTCTGTGCTGTACACACGCGATCATCAGTCAGTGGTGCGTCTTTTATAGCATGGAGGCTTTTAAGASTTCCCTATTTGTATTTTSTAGGCGTCGATTGTACCATGTTGGATGTTTATTGGATGGATCAATCARATTGTTGCTTTAATGGATAAAAAGGAAGGACCTGCTGTACATAATATTCTACACCAGCTGGCGACCCACTATCCACAGGTAKCCCATTCCRTTTCTCACCCCTTCCCCGWACGAGAAAATTGTCCGCAYAGGGGGAGGGGTGGGGAAGAGAGGTGAATACAATCCCGTGGATATCCACCGTGTGGTAGTGATRATTAGAATGACTCACCYTYGGGAAAATGTCTCAAGCTAAAATTCGCGTTKTCTTACATTATGACCCAATATARTCRGGCTTCCTGTCCCTCCCAGGATCCAATATTGCATCCATGCAACACTATTTGCTTTATATCTGTATAGGCATTACATTGACTCCTCTACTTATTTATTTTTATTATTTATTAACTTATCATTTCCATTGTAGGCTCTTTGTTTCCCTTTCAAAATCAGTAGCGAACAGTTTAGTTTTGAAAACTCCAAAGTTGGAAAAGCCAACAAGGAGGCTGTSACCAGGTAACGATYGCTGTATTTTYATTGGCTATTAWAACGCATCACGTGTTCATTGAAATCTTTTACGTGTTGATGATCCTCTAASAATRTKGCAAAATATGTTGAAASCACGGAGAAACTGTTGTTTTCTTACCTKTTCCAGRCTTCRTTCTCTTCTTGAAAATCAACTACTTGATGATTTCATTGCCGCCTTGGAGCAACTCCAAAATCCACAGCACGCTTTCAAAGTACGTAGCTGGGTAGCAATTGCATTGAATTTAATAAAAAAAACCCTGAATATTCCTAACTCTTCGTGTTTTGATAAAAGGACTGGTATGACGAAATGAAGCTGCGTTTCGACGAAGTTCAAAAAACTGGAGATGGAAGTTTGGTTGTCAAATGCTACAAGGACATGTACAAAAGATTACTGGACCATAAAGCAGCTCAGAGGTCGGCCAGGGAATCAAGGACTCAGAGTGGAGTTGAATTAGGAGCATATAGAGTGAAATTGGCCCAGGTATGGTTGTGCCATCATGTGAATTTTAGCTTATTGCTAAAAGTTTTGTTTGTTTGTTAGCGAGTTTGGTGAGGTGTGTCGAAATACAGTCGACCATATTGACTTCTTTATTTATTTTTTAGAAAATTGCGTCAGATTTCGAGAAGTGTTTTGGAAGCGATGGCAGCAAGTTGCTAGCAATGAAAGCCAAGGTATTTTCATTCCAAATCAAATAATACATGCACATTGTGACTGTCTTTTTTCCTGTTGCTAGAACTTTGATGATATTTATCGAGGTATTAAGCGAAAGATAGACAATTTGAAACTACCAGAACCTCGTGGTACCTTAAAGGAGTTTTCCCCATGGCTAAACAACTTTCAGTCCAGCAACTATACACAAAAACTCGAAATACCTGGTAAGAAAACTGATAATTAACAAACATTATCGGTTAGATGTAATTCAACAGTTATAAGGTTTACTTCCGAGTTCTTTTAACTCTAACTTTGCGCAAAATATTTCTGGTCGCTGGCCGTATAGGAATTCTGTTTTATTCTGAAGAATTGTTCTTGATTGTAGGACAATACACGGGTCGTTCAAAGCCGCTTCCTGAGTATCATGTCAAGATTGATAGTTTTGACGAAAGGGTAGTTATCACTGCACGCCATTTTGGTTCCTGCCAGATTCTGTAATACACCTTCGAACTTTTTTATTTGTTTTGGTGTCAGGTTTTGACCATGCCGTCCATTCGGCGTCCTAAACGTATCACTATACGAGGGGACGATGAAAAGGAGTACATGTTTCTAGTCAAGGGAGGAGAGGACCTAAGATTGGATCAGCGAATAGAGCAAGTAAATTCTTCTTGAATACACATGAAAATGAATGACCAATGAATGACACTTTTTTTTCCTCAGCTTTTTTGTGCAATGAATGACACCTTGAACGCTGATCCCGCATGCAAGAAACGTAGCCTGCGGCTTCGCACTTACGAGGTCATTCCCATGACTCCTCGGTAAGTACTACTACAGGAAGCCCACTTTAAGATACTTCACTTCCTTGACTCTTGACTCAATAGTCAACTTAAGATATTTTGGTTCGATGACTATGTACAAAAGAACGCACACGAGGCTCCGAGAAAACTGGATAATCTTGATTTATTCTTTTATTTCCCCGGAGCTTCGTCTGCAATTCTTTTGTGCATGGTCACTGAACCAAAATATCTAAAGTAGGCTATTAGTTAATCATTGTTCGATTGTAATTTTGCTGTTTTTTGACTAGGGTTGGTTTGATTGAGTGGATGACGAACACTAAACCACTCAAATCCGTCCTTGAAGGTGAGATGACAAGCACTGAACTACAGCAATTCAAAAGGTAAATAAACGGGCAACCTAGTAACATAGCTATCGTACCATCCCAGTGTCTACATAAGCGCCCGAATGGTCACAATAACCCTTTAAGGCGTCTTCCTTTGTTAATTCACTCGAAGAAACTATAAAAATGGGAATACATGTACAATTAAATGACGTGACACTAGGCCTTAGTTAGTTTGTCACACTTAATAAAATTACCATCTTTCATTCTTAGACTTATGCAAATGCACGACAGCTGGATCCAAAAGTACTGCATCTCGTCTACACCTCATAACCCAAAGGCAAGATATGGCGCAATGTACAGGTATTGAAAACTAACCGACCGCAAAAAGGCGGGAAAAATGGCGGGAAAATGCTTGACGCGCGCGTACTTACATGTAACTGGAGATACTCATCAACCAATCGTAGTACGCGTACTAACTTTGTTTTCTATTATTAGAAAAGGGACAAGCTTATGAACCAATCAAAGTGCACGTTTTACTTTTGTTATTTTTATCTTTAGCAAGGCAAGTCGAACGGAAACGGAAACTGATTTTCTAAAGAAACAGGGGCAGGTGCCGGGGGATATATTAAGGTATTATTTTTAAATTTTGATTTTTGCATTTTTTAAAGCTCTTAGAGAAAGCTATATAAGTACTATAAAAGCTTTATATATTATTATTGGTATATATTTTCATTTGTTTAATAAATTCTCCTTAAGTGACGATTAATCTTTCTATTCTCGTATGTTTATTCATCAGGCGAGCCTTTACCAAGTTAGCTGCATCTCCAGAAGCATTTTTGACTCTCCGTTCACATTTCGCTCGCACGCATGCGTGTTTATGTATTTGTAATTACTTGGTTGGGATTGGAGACCGTCATTTATCTAATCTAATGATTGATACTGTAACTGGTGGGATGGTAGGAATTGATTTTGGCCATGCATTTGGCTCAGCTACTCAGGTTAGTTATTACACCAAACGTCGAAGTAGCTAAAGAACCACATGCATCCGAAATCCTTTGCGCGATTTTCTCTAATTTTTGAACCAATCAGAAAGAAACTTTCAACAAGAGATTATTTGTAAAACAAAATAAACGAACGACAAGGTTCTCAGATGCATGTTCTTATAAATAAATAAGCGCACGAGTCCTCCGGGACGATGATATTAGGAAAACTGTGTTTATTTACATTTTTATTGCCGAAGTTTCATTAATATCTTCCTCCAACCACTAATAACTGTCTCTTGAATGTTGTAGTTTTTACMAGCCCCTGAGCTGATGCCGTTTCGTTTAACRCGACAAATCGTCAATCTTCTTCTTCCGTTGAAAGAATCGGGTTTGCTTCGTAGCACGATGATTCATACAMTRCGTGCACTAAGAGAAAACCACGAACTACTCCTCAATACAATGGATGTGTTTGTCAAAGAACCATCGCTGGACTGGAAAGTAAGGTTCAAACGTGGATTTATTTGAGTTTTTTCAATTCATTGTTRAGTGTTTTGATGTGATTTACATGCTCGACCAAGTTAATTGGYTTACGCCGTTTTCTTTTTAAGGTATATGCTCGAAAACAAGCCGCTTCTCAAGGAATAAAAGAAGGTTTGTTACAAAAAAATTAGTCTACAGCAAAAGAGATAAATTTAGTTTCTATTACCGTTTATTAATGTTTATTATTAATGATTTTCATTAGCATTTATTAATGTTTGTTTTATCTATGTTGAGTAATATTTATTAATCGTTATCATGTGTAAACAGAAGACGAAAAAGATTCAGCGTGGTATCCTAAAGAGAAGGTTAAGACAGCAAAAAAGAAGTTCCTTGGTGCAAATCCTGCCTTCATCACCAGGTATTTCCCAAACTTCCCTCTTTTCATGAAAAGTGTTTACAATTTCATATTGTGTTGAGTCTTAAGTAAAAATTGTCGTTTGATTTTACCTGGAGTCACCTTATTCCATGTTTTATTCACGTCTACAGGGACGACATTCGTCTGGGACACGGTAATAGAGGCAAGGAGTTCGAGGGGATGAAAGCAGTTTGCCTTGGTGACAAGAAAGTCAATATACGAGCAAGAGTACCAGAAAATGGTCTGACGGTAGAAACACAGGTGGACTGCTTAATCGATCAAGCCACAGATCCTAACCTTCTCGGTCGAACCTATGCTGGATGGGAACCTTGGGTCTGAGTTGGGAAAWCCGCTTATATACTACAGACYTTAGTTTCRCTTCCTRCAGYTTATYGAAGAAATGTTGTCACGTTTAAAAACGTATATCAGTTAAGGTAGGGCCGAAGAGTTGTATGGGATGCTATTTAATGATAGGCAGGTTATTCTATGATTTGTTTATAAAACAAGAATATCATACATGTACAACTAAATTGAATTTTATTATCGTTAGTATTTCAATTATAACTGGATCATTGATCAAACACTTCTATAAATCTACTTGTTTTGAATTTGTCAAATAATAATTCTTGAGTACCTACATCAAACAATTGCACTTGTTTAAAATACGAAAAAGTAAGTATAAAAACGAGCCGTAGCCGATCGAGCTCGATAGCACAATGTTTTCTCCACTTGAGTTAGTATATAGTATTATTAACACATCGTTGCAATGTAATTAGAGCGAAAGCAGCGGTTTAGGACAATATCGTGTATGCTAGTTAGAAAAATACGTTCAATATTACGATTGTACATTTAAGATGTACAGATTAATAAATGCTTTAATAACTTGATGCGTAATTGTGTTCCATCTCGTAATTAAGCGAGAATACTCGTCAAAGAATATTTTCGCGAATTGTTTACTGTTGTTACAGACTCAGCAAGCTAATACTGCTAGTAGATTCTATTTATTATCTTCATCATTCACATTTAAATGAACTGAAATACAAAACTAATAATAATTATGTTCATGTTTTCACTCTTCTAGCGTCTTTCTTTGTAAACTAAATCAAATGTACAATAACAGTGTATAGTCGGGTTCAATTATTATTATATATAACTATGGCATAAAAACAACAGTTATACACTGTACAGAATATCAAACACCAAGCGTCCATTTATATATAGTTCTGTAAGCTAAGCGGTGAACTAGCTACTCGGAAATGTCTTCGTCCAAGGACCGATTACAGAAATAACCGGCGTTTACATGTAGAGCGATGGATTTCGTGTGGACGGGACATGTAAGCTGTGTAAGCGCTCTATTAAAAAGCCAATTATTTTCTGATGTTTACAAAGCTTCTACGTGTAAGTGGGAGCGAATTTAAGGGAATCATCTAAGGACGAGGTCATACTTCCGAGCCTTGATAGATGTCTGTGCTYCGATGTGATGCAACGGCTAAATACACCTTTTCACCCATGATAAAAAACACCATATCACGTGTCCTTCTCGATGGAATTTCTTGCACCTCGGCAAACCTCTTGGAATGATACTTATCCCACGCATAGATAGTTGGGTTAATACCGCTGCTCACTATGGCGAGGTAYGTCTTCTCTTTACCCATGTGCGCTGACGTAATGCAAACCCAGTCACGTGCCTAAGTCAAAGAAACACATTAGTTGCAATATATAAGGAAATATTCTAGTGCCCGTGAAGATCTTTTCGGTCGAGCAGTTCAACCCAGGACGCAGAGTCCTTAGGTCGATCAGGTCAGATCCCAGGAGCCGAACAGCGTCGTACCCGGAAGGTTGGACGATCCCGGGTGATCTCATCAGCCAAAATGAACCAAGGAACGTCACAGACAACGGGACCCCAAACAGATACCTAAACACCCACCCAGATCCCAGAACCCAAAACAGAAAAATATCTCAAAGCCCGACGCTTAATTCCCAGAAACCCATTTAGGTCCTATAACCAAAGTTTCGCGGCCTAAACCAGATATTTGGACCCCATTTGAACCCGAAGATCGCATAAGAATTGAATCATCGTTATATATCACACTTACTCTTCTGGAAGGTATTCTTTGGAACAAGTTAAAGGAAGTTCCATTCCATTTGTGAATTAAYGATGTTTTGGCTCCCCATCTTGCTACAGCTAGAAAGACATTTCCATCAACTTTGACGGCTTTAAGTCCGTATGAACGTTCTTCTGTAAAAACGTGTTGGTGCTTCTCAAACTTGGCACCATTCCACTTGAAAATGGACGCGTASGGTCCACGTGCAGCCGGACCTAGAGATAGCGACTTGAATTAATACAAAATAGTTGAGTAGCCCTGGGTTTATAAAAGGTTGTCCATGCAATAAACGACACTTTAGAAAGAATTAGATATTATTACCAGTGACCGCAAGAAAGACATCATCACCGATAGTAAACGACTCCATATCRGCTCCTGCAGCTAAAATTCTTTGAAAGAAAACGAATCTTTCACCRTTCCATTTGAAGATCTTTGAATATGGTCCGTAGTACACAGCAACGCCAAGAAAAACCTCGTCCTTKATTCTTATGGGTTCGATATCGAAGGCTTTTGATGAGGACAATGTCTGGTACGGAATGAACTGGTTATCTACCCACTTGAAGACGGGGGAGTCGTGAAAACGATGATTGCTCGCGGCTGCGAAGTATGTGTCTTGCCCTATCTTRAAGTGACTCCATTTTCGTGCGTTGGCAACTTTGAGTACTTGATATTCGTGAAACCTTYGATGAATAACATGATTGAATGGAATTAAATGGAGAAATAGACTCGAATGAAATGGAACAGAAGGAAATGGGATGGAATCGAATCGAATTGAACGGAATAAAGTAGAGTAGAATGGAATGGAATGGAAGAGAATGAAATGGCATAAAAAAAAATTCAACTGAATAGATGGGAGAAAATGTGATGAAAAATAAAAAAAGGTTTTGACTATTCTACTTACTTGTTGTTAATAGTCCACCATTTATAAATAACAAAGCTTTTGCTGCCCAGTTGCGAAACGCCAAGAAAYAGTTGATCGCCGATCTCAAACGTACCCAGGTCCCACGCATCGGTATACAGCGTTTGTATCATGTATTTCTTCATGAACTGCGTCATGTTGACATGATATGCTAAACRTGGACARTTGTGTCAAKTTTGCTTTCATTTTTGTAAAAWTATTTATARARTGCACGCGCYTCTAATCCGTGAAACTTGAATGGTACTAYAGATAATGCTAATTCCTTTACATGCTGTCTAGTCAACACGTACCATTTTGATGTAATTAATGCTATTTGTTTCKCGGATTAAGTGTGTCTATTCTAGTGTTGATTATACAATCGAAACCAAAGGTATTAGAATTATTTATCATCAATTTTCTACCATTTTTGGCTCACGGATTAAGAGCGTATCGGTGCATGTATTTCTCGTTCTTCCGAATTGCTTACCCATAGTTGGTGTCTGTGTTGTGGTAGGAGCTGAAAAATTTAACCTTTAGTTTATTTATCGTGTGKTATTAATTGGCGCAAATACCAAGTATTTCTACTTACCAAGCGTTGTAGTTGGAGGCCCAGCAGGATTACCTAATAAGGCAAGAGTAACGGCTGAAAATTAATAGATGTTGGCACAGGAGCCTCTCGAAAAAGTCAAGTACCATACCTGGACATTTCACCACATGGTTACAGATGGACGTATCTAAAAAAAGTGTGCCAAGAATTACCGCATGATAAGGAATTACCACATAATAACCATGACCAGGTATTTCTATATAAGATGGTKTTGAGAACAAAACTTACCAAATTTAACGCAAAACAGCTTCTTTCCATCCGAGGTAAGAAACTCTCCGGCCTTACACTTTGGGAGATTAGCTAGAAGACCAGACTCTCCCTGGACACAGTTATATATCAATTTTAAAATCAGTTTAAATATCAAAGTTACTGAAAATGATGTTTGATATTGAAGTAGCTAACCTTAGGGCCTGGCGGACCRCGAGGACCTTGGGAACCGCGTGATCCCTGAAAGAAATAGCGATTAAAAGGTACTAATGTGTAAAAAGGTACAAGGTATTTGATCTTACCTCTCTGCCTCTTTGGCCTCGGGGTCCACGTGGTCCTGTCTAGAAAGTTTAAGGTCAATGTTGGATGAGTGCATAACATATTGTTAAAAAAAACTTGTCTAAATGTAAGTTGGTTTCCGGCTTTTCTCGCAGATTCWTTCATTCAAAGAAAGTTGCCAAAGCTTTTCGAGAGTGCGATAGTTTTTACAATCACATGACAGCACAGTTACCGACTCTAAACAACGCTCCTTGGCGTCTCGCGAGGWGAGGTTCATAACAACATTCTTTGCGGTTTTCCTTGTTTGCCAAAAACTGAGGAGGGTGGGGCRGCATTTGCGTCTTTCGTGACGTTAKTCTATTGTGACTTTTATTGTAGATATTGAATGGCATAGCTAAATATAAACTATGACCTCACATGAAACGGAAAACCTAGTCATCTTTTTGTTTACAAAATAATGAAGCTTGGACTCTAGTTTCTTTCTATAATTTACTGACAAATTTATAGAACATATGTTATAAAACCGCGTMTACAATATCTGAAACCACGAAAAGTTTATAATATTGGTTCAGAATTGCGAGCGTTAAGTTTATTACCCATGGAAAAAAAAAACACCGTAAAAACACTTAAAAGCTGAAATAGATTCACAAGAAGACGTTCATGGATAAACAAAAACACCTGAGAATAATTGTACAAACTCGCAGTACGTCTAAAAACAACAGTATTGTAAAAGTTCAGAAACTTGAAGTATTCAACTTGAAGTATTCAATGTAAAATCACATCATTGACTTCAACACCTGTAACGTTCGGAGTTTGAACCATATTTTCTATCATATTGGTGAAAGAAAAACAAACCTTTTGCTCGTCTGCTCGTACAATTCGTGAGATCCCCTGCTGCGACTAGCGCAAAACTAATTAATTATATTAACCATAATTTTATTGGCGGTTTCATAGTTCCACAATACTTCACTATACCACTTAAAGATTCCCTATTTAAGATGTCAAATAAATTAACAGTTGGACCAACGGATAGAAGTTCATGAATACGCCAAAAACTGTCTTCCTAAACTTCATTTTAAAAACGACTAAAGTACAAAAATGTCAAGTACAAAAGTTAACTTTCTTTGCTTTTTCTTGTTTCATTGATGAAGTACTATGAACAYGGTCAAAGCGAATACAGTTTCTACGTCTTGCGATATTTTGAGGTCAGGGGGCAGGCKTCGCTTTCGGTTTCAACAATCCTGGATCAAATTCATAAGTGGTTTCAAGAAAGAGATAATTCGTCGTTAAAATAAATCATAGGCAATGCGCCAAAACAGGCTCTTTTTATTATAAGCATTGCGTCGTATTAAACTCTGTTGTAAACTGCGTTGTCACACAAACACAAACGTTTTCGTCTTCATATTATATAATTTTTGGTGAACAAGTTTATCCCTCGCTCTATTTAACTGAATTTTGCGTGAGATTTATAATCCACATCCCAAGCAAGTCTCTGAAAGTTTTTACTAACTCTGTGGCAGTCACTCTATAGAGTTACCGGATCGACAGAAAGTGTCCGCATAACTACCAAACAATGTAAAGACAGTTAAGTTAACCTTTAATATGTCTTGATAAGTGGCTTCAGCAATGATAGCATATTATTCCATCATTCGACATACTTACTAGCAATAATACTGACAATAGAGTAATTTAATATTACTTTAATTCCTTACCTTTATCTTTTTGAGTTTGTCGTCCACTAMACCTTTAAACGTTCTTGTACAAACTCGAGGACACTTTCGTCTCATGGAAAAGCTTGATCCAAGTACGAGAGCAAATGCGAGCAGACACAACAATCGCGGGTATATCATTGTTTGTATTACTGTAAKCCCAAATTTCTAGCTGWWGWTGAAATACCAGATCTTTACCAAGATCACAGCAGCAGAGCAAGGGGCTACCTGGTTGAAAGATGAACTCGTGGGTWACGCGTGCCTCTGGACGCACAAAACACGGGATTAATTCAGCGGAAAGGATAGTATTAAGACTGGCTGCATGCACAGTAATCTTTTGAGGGGTTTTTCCTGACCTCTTATCGTACCAAACACTCGTGAAAATCACCCAAAACAATCGGAAATTGAACAGACCACGGCAAGTGATCATTTATATATTATTTACTAATTTACCGGAAGTGCATAACAAGATACTGACAACCGGAAGTTAAATCGTTTATGAAGAGTGCGCCCAGTCACTCACTCCGTTCGCTAAAATAAACGTTCAGTTCACCTTTCTTACAGAGAAGCCAACAATCAAAAAACCAAACTACCAAACATTAGGGAACAACAAAATATCAAATGACTGACTTTTCAGTTGATTAAGTTTWTGTCCCGTGAACCGCGAAATGTTTATTATGAAAATTTTAGCTTTTTTTCGACAAAACACAACCGAATGACCCTTGCGTTGAAGTTTATTTTAACAGACGATAAACAAATTCCTGAAAATCTTTCAGTAATTAATAAATACCTTGAAAGATTAGTTCRCAGATTGTTAAGGTCGGGGGAATTCATCAACCTACAGCTGATAGCCGCGCAAATAGCACAAAAAATCGAATCGAGTTTCACGGTATTTTATGAAATTACCAATCCTTTTCCCCGCTTTTCGTACGGTTCAATGGCAAAGAAGATTCTTAGTTGTGTTTGTCTGCACTTTGGCTTAAATAGGAAGTAAATTGACAGCGATGAAAGCGATTACAGTCATGATACGAGCAATGCCAGCATTGTCCCAGACAACACTTTTAAAAATACGACAGTTCTACCTCCAACACTCCGGAATTCAATTTCATATATTTTGAAATGGAGATAAGATTAAAGAAAAAGTGACTTAATAAGCAGTAAATCTAGATAAGTTCTACTCAAAATAACTGATGAAAAAAATAACTTAAACAGTCTTCCTCACTGATATGCGTTTTGTTTTTGACCGTCTCCCCGGCCCTCAACAGGCCTGCGACAAAAATAAAAGGAAACTTCCATGTTAGTCAAGTTAGTACCTCATTAGTATAGTGGAAATTCACAACACTCCCACAACACTCCCAGTGTGGGCCGCATGGTAATAATATGATAATAGTTAGAAACAACATCATGKTTGAGGTGGGGAATATTCCATGAGCCACACCCTTTGTGGTCTGCTAATCAGGAGCAGATAGTTGCAGGAGTGGAGCAATTTCCGGTAAATTATGATAAAACGACCAGCACTGCATTGATAATCTACCAAGCGCATCCTACAAGTTAATTGAGTTCCACTTCAAAACGTTACGACGCCTAGGCGAGTGCGTCTATATTGGTTTATTACTGATACTAGAAAGTGCTTTTTTAACAATGGAGTAGTTGAATCGAGGCCATTATGCTGCGATAGTTGCACGCGGAACTATATTTTCCGATTTCGAAGGCGACTATGAAGTCAGTTGAGAAACATCCAGTTTCCAAGGGCAACTATCGCAGCAAAATGTCCGAGATTTCAACTGCTCTATTGTTTTTATTTCCCAAAAACAAAATTTTCGGAAGCGGCGGGCTCTATGGACTGATAGTACGCCTCCGCGCCGGGCACTATCGCTTCACGTCGACTCTCCATCAAAGAGAGCGGAGGATAATGTTGTTGAATTGTAGCAACTAGGTAATACTCTAAAGTAGTCGACACTCTAAAGCCAAAATCCGTTATTATGGGTAATCTGTAAAGATTATGCTTTAAAATGAATCTTTTATTACTATACACAAAGCTTRTATAAATATAAATAGAACTCGCTTTCTGTCTGAACATATGTTCTACATTTTGTAAGGTATAGTTCTTTATGTTACAATTTGGCCTGTTCTCAGGCCCTCTAYCCCCCTMCCCTACCCCGCGRTGAGCCTGTTCTCAGGCTGGCTACATCGATGGGCTTGATCTTTGCGTCGTATCGACACGAAGTTTTCGTAATCCACTTAGAAATYTTGACTCTTGTTCCAAGAATTCCTCGTCCTGTAAGTAACATTAATATCAGACAGGGCACAGCACTGGTTGATTGGGACTGAACAGAATTGACTAAAATAGATGTGTGTGCAACATATGGAACAATTTAACGAAATATCGCCAAAGGGTTTGGACTGATAATTAACATTCTACTGCCACTAAAATTAGAAACCGAAAAAGGATTGAAATGTGTTCTTCGCAAACAAAAAGAAGCTTAACGAGGWATACTTTGTCATTTTAATCAATGGCAGCTGTGACGTAAAGAAAAAGAGAACAATAGGTTTTAAATTATCTTAGTGATTGCGCCATAATTCAAGATTGAGGACCCTTTTGCTAGTTTTAACCACATTCCCGATATCCAAACGTTACACCTTCTGTTCTGGCAATACGCTCGAAGGAATCGATGGTTTCGATGGTTAGGATAGAGACTTTCTCTCGCCTTTCCCTTGATGCACCGCGCGCTGCTAAAAATACAAGAGAAGTGACTGGGTACGAGTTTCAGAAAGGCTTACTAATACCTTCTCTTTGTCGCTGTCCCATTTCCTAAAATTGCGTTTCAACTCCAGACTGTTGAGTAGAAGATCAGGTGTCCGTGGTTGAGGAGCCATGGAGCCATTTAAATCTGCTGTGGTGAGAACCGGAGGAGGACTCATCGGAGGAGGACTCATCTCTGAAAGACAGGTTTTGTTTTGAGATTTGCGAACACAGAACGAGAGAATAAGAGAGATAAGGTTACCTGGTAAGTCGATGTACTGTTTAACTTCACATTGTCGACATCTACCATTGCGTCTGTCCATTTCTAGCAAGCGTCTTTCATGAGCAAGGGACACRCGATCCTTGAGGAAAAATGGCAGAATTAGTAAGCTTCGTCCCTTTGTTTTTTTTTTAGAAACACAAACGCATTAGAAAAACAGAATAAACTTTACATCCCCTACCTCTGCTATCTGTTTTTCTTTTTCTCGTAAAATAATAAGACGGTTTTCAAGCTCAGCTCTTTCGTCCTCAGTCTCTTGACGCAGTCTCTGTGCTTGAAGCAAGGCTTCTTCGCCTTCTTCACGTGCTCTMGCTCCTTCCTGAAATAACGATTGATACTAAAAGTAAATGAATGAATAAAAAAGAAAGAAAGAAAGAAGATCGCTCCGTGTTACTTACTGCACATAGTTCACCAATCTCCTCGGACCGTCGTTGCACCTCTAAACTTAGTTTGCCGATTCTGTCCTTTTCTTTTTCAAACGTTTCAACGTGTTGTTCAAACTCACGCTTATCTCGTGCAAGTTTCCCTTCTTCTTTCTTTAAGTGAGCCTGACGTGYATCTAGGGCAGCGGAATCTTGCCTTACTTTAGATGTAGTCACTTCCAACTCTGCTTCGGCCTGAAAGAATGTATAACTTTTTTAGTAATTATCACGATAATTTTAGATCAGTAAATGTCCATTTTGAATACCTGTAAAGCACTATCAGATTTGTGTTTTTGTCTAGTGATGATTTCYCTGTGWGTTGARGATAACTGCGCTCTCTCCATTGCAAGAGATCGTCGTTCTTCTTGTAGTTCAGTAGTGACTCTCTTTTGCTCTCGCAGTAGTTCATCTCGAGCGCGCTGYACGTCGGCTCTGTCAGASGCAAGTTGTTCCATGGTAATYCGTCGCTCCTCTTCTACGGATGCCTGAAAAAAGTCAACAATTTGACTGTGATTAATTCATTGTTTTATCGTAACTATTAGCATATCATATGTTGGTCACCTGTAATGATTTGATTCGCGCATCATCCTGAATTAGTCTCCATTTCTCTTGATCAACTTGTCKGTTCTGCTCTCTGATATTAATCTCCATTTTTGCTATCAAACCTAAAACCACAAATAAATGAAATCGCAAGATGATACCTGAGGGATCCCTGTCCGTGGAGGAGGCTCATGGTAACTAAGACACCTTATACCTACCGGATGGTTGCACTTAAGTTCAATAATGAWTAAATTATTAGATTATTATTATCAATTATTTGCACCAACCTTGTAGCCTAGTGCGCTCCTCGTCATTCTCAGCTTGCTGTTTTACCAATCTGTCCTGAAGCTGAGTCAAGTACTCGTCACGTGCTTTAGCTACMAGTTCCCTCTCGGTTAAACTTGATTTATGAGTAGCCTCGATATGAGATTTCATATCATTGACGTCTTTGGTTGAGTTCAAAACTTGTTGCATAAGGGACTGGAGCGATTTGGTGTGACCATGCGCACTGGAGACAGCACTAACCTAAACAACATCATGACAATATTTTCTCCTSAATAAAASACAGCTCTTCCTCACACAYAATTTTATAAGTAAAATGACCTAAATCAATTTACATTTTTGCGGTCTGTTAAGTTTATTTAAAACGCCATTAGTACCTCTTGCTCTTTCAGTCTTCTCAGACGTTGAATTTCCTCCTCATTTTCACTTCTGAGTTCTTCAATCGCTTGGTGATGAAGTTCTTTGATTCTTTTTACTTCAGCAGCGTGCGATGAGTCCAGTGCTTGTACTTTACGAGCGTGTGAAGACTTCATGGCTGTTTTCTCGTCCTCCAGTGCGCGTATTCTATCATTGTAATGAGCGGCTTGTAGCTCTGTCTCTTCTTTTATGCGTGATTCACGAAGATGGTAAGATTCTTCCAATGTTTTTATATGACCCCTGAAATTATTCAAAAAAAGCATTTTCTTCAGGAAAGCACGATGGGAAATGTGTTACAGTCGACACAAAGATCTCTAATGCAGTCAAACGGCACGTTTACACTTGCGATTTTTGCAGCGCGGTTGTCGCGCGCGCCACTTGGCCATCGCGCAGCTCAAAATGTTCGTCTTAACAAGCCTGTGAAGGTTGCGGCAATGGAAACTAAGACGATGGTCTTGCGACGATTACCGCGACAATMGCGCTGCATAAATCGCAAGTTAAGTAAACGGGCCTTAACATACTTATGGGATGTTTCTAGATTAGAAGTTTCTGTCTGATGGCGGTGTTTTAGTGCTTCAAGACTGCTCTGCAKATGATCATTTTCAAGCTGTAACCGACGTACCTAAAAAGAAAACAAAAAAAATACAAAAAAATATATAAAAAGTTGAATTCTTTTCATAAATAGTCTCCTTCGTACCCGAGGGACAGAAAGCCCGACACGAAAACGGATACGACTTAGACTATTTCATAAAAAGACGCATGCTCAAAAGCTTTCAAGACAAACATATTTAATCTAATTAACACAGATATATTAAATCAGGGAGAAATCTTTCGATAACTGAAAACAAGAAAAAACGCACATACAAAAGCTCCACAAATACTTGGAAACACTTACTTTGGCCTCTAGTTGTGCTAAATATGCCGTTGAATCAAGTTCTTGTTTCTGGGCATTACTTTCCATGTCGTAAAGTTTTCTCATGAGACTTTGTATCTCGCCCTCTAACTGTGCTTTCTGCTCAAACGTTTGGTTTGAATTCAACGGAGTAGATTGATATACGTGACTTTGCGGTACGACTGCTGAGCTGAATGTCTGTGCTGTCAAGTCCTTGTGTAGTTGGGGAGTTCCTCCTGAAGGGAGATTCTGTAGTTGGGATGGAGTTGCCGGAGTAWTGACTTGTTCTGGTGTATGGCTTACAGCGGGCTTTGCAGAAGTATCCGTTTGCTGTTTCAAAGGTTGTATTGCTTCTTTTTGGTTTCTTTCTGCCTGTAAACGCGTTGTCTGCTCTCTTTKYTGTTGTTSTACATCTCTGGTTTGTTTTATTTCTCCTTGTGAACGAGAWGTCTGTTGAATTTTCAWKCCTTCGATAAAAGGACGTGACGTTTCCTTGTCATCTTTCAAGTCAGGTTCAGCTGGYGATCCCTGAAATGTTCGTGAAACATCACGAGATTGTAATTCAGGAGTCTCTTGGCTCTTCTCTGGGGACTTGTCTCGCCATCTCCGCCCTCTGCGTGTGSCTCCATCAAAAGATGACCTGAAAAAAATTCATTGTGTATTACTGATTTTTATCATAAAAAGCAAGATTATAATTAGCAAGAAGTGTTGGTTTTTTACTCATTTAGTTGCGATGCCGGCTTGTCATCGGTCGCAATTCCAAGCATTTTGAGGAAATCGTCACCATCAGCATCTGCTTGTGGTTTCCTTGGTGATAATGGGCTGGCGGGCTGCTGTGGAGAAACTATASGAAAAGGAGAWTTGATTRTAGAGTTATGGCAATATATAAACCAACGCGTATAATTAAAACAACCAACAAATCATGCAAACAGTTTATCTACACTACTTACCAGAGCGATGCGGCTCAGTTCTTCGTCCTGTATTTCTGGAAGGTKTTGGAGGTTTATAAGTTGGTAGTTCGAGTTCAAGTCCAGTGTCATCACTACCAAGGCCAAGCCAATCTGCACCGCCACCACCACTYTCACTAGGGGAAACTGGACTCTTCTTTTCTTGCTCTGTTGATATATGGATGTATACATCAACATTCACTCCCGAAGACCAAGACCTAAAGGCCCGTTTACAATTTCTTACATTTTTGCAGCACCACTTTTCCATTTCGCAACTAAAATCGTACGTATAAATAGCCCTGCGATTTTTGCGGCGATGGAAAATCAAGCATGTTCGAAACTCAGGGGATGGTCGCGCGACGATCGCCGCAAGAATCGCTCTGCAAAAATCGCAAGTGTAAACGGTCCTTAAGGGTGAAAATACAGGACGTTTGTCAAATTGTGTCGATATGAATTTCCTTTCACACTTAATCTCCTAAAGAGCATGATACGCCACACAAACCGAATCTTGAACTCACCTTTTTTAATTGAATCGTTCTCAACAGACGCTCCTCCTTGTTTCGTGTTTTCATCCATTCCTCTCCGTCTTCGTTGTGGTCCATCGTTTCTMATATTTGGAGCTGTAGCTGGTCTTTCTTCWGCTCCAAACAGTTCGTCACTTAATCCAAGATCATCAGCAAATCGAACAGTTCTTCTTGACCCTGGTGCTGTATCAGGTCTTGGCCTTCCATGTCCAGTGCTTGTCACWGCTGAGGGTGTGTAGTCACCAAACAAGAAGTCATCATCTTTCGGAGGTGGGGCTGATATAAAAAGAAACAAATTAGCCTTTAAGAGCACAGCATGTAACTACTGGTACTAACTGACCATCTTGATACCTTTTTTGGAGGCACTTGGCGTGCTTGGGGATTTAGAGGAGCTGATGTTTGATAGGAAGTCATCTAACGTCTTGGGTTTTTGGGTTTTTGTTGCTTCACTTTGATCCTTTTTGCCACCAAGAAGTTCATCAAACCGTGAAGGGGTTGTCTGTTTTGAAACAGCTAACCGTGGTGACTGTTTTCCTTCATCTAGACCTGTAAATAAAACATTAATCCCTATTGAACTGGTATGTTGTGATAAACAAAGGTCTATCTTTTGTACTTGCCAAGTAAGCCATCATCATCATCACCAAACAAATCGTTTTCAATCTTTTTAGTTTTCTCCTTTGGAGGAGCTTTTGTTGAACTCTGTTTRGATATGCTGGAAGGTTTTGGTCTTGGACTGTCATCCATGCCCGGCAAATCATCACCAGAATCAAAGCTTAACTCATTTTTTGTTTTGGCAGGTGAACGAGGACCTGAAACCAAGCAATTGATTTGTATATTATGCAGGCAACTATAGATATTACGTTTAATAGTAATTCTACCTCTTGGTGAGAGGACTGCATCTTTTGTGACAGAAGGAGGCGGGTTTCCTCCTTTGTCTTCACTATCTTTTCTGTTGCCTGYCTTTATAGACAATGGAGGATCTTCTTTAATGCTCTCTTGTCTGCTTCGTGAAGTTTTAGGTCTTTCTATTTTTCAAAACAAAAAACATAAAATGAATAAGTTAGCAAATTTGTAGAATACAAAACCTTCTATTATTAAGAAATAACATCAATCTTTTGAACTAGCTTGTCAACATTAGCAACGCATGCACAATCCTGAGGAATTACTGACACTTCATTATAGAAGAGCTCAGAAAACACTGGATACCAGAAGCTATTCATGACAGTATAAGCATTCTCAAATACCTGGTAGTTTTGATTCTGTTTCTGGTTCCTTTTTGAGTGGTTGTTTCTTCTTTGTTTTCTTGGCTTTAGAACCATTATCTTCATCATCAGATAAAAGACCAGCAAGAGGATCATCCTCATCAAACTCTAAATAAAATGAAGCAAAAATAAATAAAACATTCAAGACACTTTTATTATTGCATAATCATGATTATAGCTAATTAACTTACCCATTGAGTCATATTTACTGATGTCAAATTTCTTTCCAGGAGTACTGGTTCTGTTTTCAGGCTTAGGCGTTGCATCACTCTTTTCAGTTTTTCTTTCATTTATTTTTTCTTGCTGAACAGCACTAYTGGTTTCAGTTGTCTTTGGTTTGTTTTGTGCTACTTTAGCTACTGGTTTTGGAGTGGATTTTCTTCCAAGTGAATTCCCAAATAAATCAGAATCCAAATCGTCAATGTCCTAGAAAATACATTGTGCTATTATCTCTCTTTCACTTCAACAGTTTCCCATGGC